TGGGCAACTGAATGGAGCTAGCAGAGTGTTTTAATGGCCGGATGCCCTTCCTGTCGCCAATGCGGAGTTATATTCAGCAGATACATTCTCAATGTGCCCAGAGAGAGAAATACCTGCCTCTACCTAGGCTCGAACTCCCGATTGTGAGGTGAGAGCTCCACCTCTAGGCCACGACACCACTGGGGGGAAAAACAGAAACAGACTAAGCAAAATCGAAGGCCTTGAGATACGCAATGTGGGGCATCACTGCCAAACTATTTCAGATCAGATGGAATCTGAAGGAATGTCAGAGTGGGACGATAGTCCATCTTTTGTCCATGAAGTCCAGAAGAGGATCCATCCGACTTTTGTGCAAGGTTTAAGTTTAAGAATAGAAGGTCCAGGCAGGAGAGGGAAGGAGCAGAAATAAATCCAGATGAAGCTGCGCCGGAATTAATATCGTCCCTTGGCCCAAGAGGACCCAGGATGATCCATCAAGGAAACTGGGAGCTGCTTTGGCACGATGCCACCCCCGATATGAGATGCCCTCCCTGGAGAATGGCTGGAGACTCATCAAGAGGAACTGCAGCCCTCAGCTAATGTTGCCGAAGCCTCTTCCTGAGAGCTTCTTCTGCACGCTGGGCACAGACGCTTGGAGTCCCTCTGTGGTCCAAACACATTTTTTGCACGTAGAAAGCTCACCCCCCCAAGTACTGATGCTGCCTGGTGGAGCACTCATGCTGCACATCAGCTAAGCATGCTATGCCACCCACCCGATTGTAATGGTTGACTTCTTTATGGCCAAACAAGGTCAAGCTTCAGCCCCAAAGGCCCCTGCTTATGTAGGCCAGGCATAGAAAAATGTAAGAATTCCTTCCTTCTTTCCTTCCTTCCTTCCTTCCTTCCTTCCTTCCTTCCTTCCTTCCTTCCTTCCCTCTCTTCCTTCTTTCTTTCCTTCTCCCTTCCTTTTCTTCCCTCCCTTCTTCCTTCCTTTCCTCCCCCTGCTTCCCTTCCTCCTTCCTCCTTCCTTTCCTCACTCCCTGCTTCCTTCCTTCCTCCCTTCCCTCCCTTCTTCACTTCTTCCTTCCTTCCTTCCTTCCTTTCCCTTCCTGTTTCCCTTCTCCCTTCTCCCTTCCTTCCCTCCCTCCCTGCTTCCCTTCTCCCTTCCTTCCCTCCCTCCCTGCTTCCCTTCTTCCTTCCTTTCCTCTCTCTGCTTCCCTTCTTCCTTCCTTTCCTCTCTCTGCTTCCCTACCTCCTTCCTTCCCTCCCTCCCTGCTTCCCTTCTTCCTTCCTTTCCTCTCTATGCTTCCCTTCCTCCTTCCTTTCCTCCCTCCCTGCTTCCTTCTTTTCCTCCCTTCCTGCTTCCCTACCTCCTTCCTTCCCTCCCTCCCTCCCTGCTTCCCTTCTTCCTTCCTTTCCTCTCTCCCTGCTTCCTTTCTTCCTTCCTTCCCTCCCTCTCTGCTTCCTCCCTTCCTGGTTTCCTTCTCCTTTCTCCCTTCCTTCCCTCCCTCCCTGCTTCCCTTCTTCCTTTCCGCCCTCTGCTTCCCTTCCTC